TCATGGATTGCCGGATAAAACTTACAAGGAAAGGTTAAAGGATCTTAACATGTATAGCTTGGAGGAAAGACGAGACAGGGGGGATATGATAGAACCATTTAAATACATAAAGGGAATCAACACAGTAAAGGAGGAGACTATATTTAAAAGAAGAAAAACTACCACAACAAATGAACATAGTCTTAAATTAGAGGGTCAAAGGTTTAAAAATAATATCCGGAAGTATTACTTAACTGAGAGGGTAGTGGATGCATGGAATAGGCTTCCAGCTGAAGTGGTAGAGGTTAACACAGTAAAGGAGTTTAAGCATGCGTGGGATAGGCATAAGGCCAGGGACTTATGAAAGTATTTAAAAAAATTGGGCAGACTAGATGGGCCGAAAGGTTCTTATCTGCCGTCACATTTAATGTTTCTATTTCTCTCTCAGTATTACAGGGGATCGGCGCTATCAATTTAATGGCACCAAGATTTGACCAGGGCTTCTCAGGACCCCACTCATGACCCATTACCCTGTCAGCCCCTCTAGTAATGTCCCTTTTCATCTCATTCCATCTTCTCCTATCATCTCAGCATCAACCCCCATTACAATAGATCAGTATTCTCTATATAAAACACTGTATAAGCCATTCCTCCCTTTATTTCTACATTCACTTTTATTTGTCACACCTCACATGTACATATTTGTTCAGTGTAAACATTAGTAAACCTCATATTAAATTGCTCTAAAGTGCAGTAACAGTTCCTCTTTATTATGCAATCCATCAGTAAATCCTTCAAATACAAAGGAATACATTCACCCCTCTTCCCTCCTCCCCTCCATTACACAGCTTCCATTTTGTTCCCTCTTCTACTCTTAAATCCATTTCCATAGTTTCTGAAAACAAATGATCTAAGCTTCTTCTATCCTCTTGCCCCACCACCTGTCCTCCGCAGAGCTAATGGACGTGGCAGACACGGTGGGCTGGAGTGAACCTGTCTTCCCCCTTTCTGTAGCGGCCCCTTTGGCACCAAGTAAATAACGAGAGGAGAGCTTCTGACGGGTGCAGTACTTTTATTCTTTTATTCTTTTGCATCAAAGGTGTGCAGGAGGGTGGAGCACCACCAACATTAATCTCTTCACACCTTGAGCACCGTGAACCATTATCACCGTGAAAACTGTAAAATTACATACAATACATTTGTTTACAGAGATCACCAAAAAGGGGGTTACAAATATGGAGTTACAAGGTGGTGTTCAGTTGTCTGCACACATATCTAAATTACATTAAACATCTAAGGAAATATGACTATATGTACAAGGATTTGGATTACAATACTTAAAGCGGCACTGTGATACCGAACTTACTTTTCTTTGATCTATTCCACTTCTCTCACTCTGTCATGATCTGTTCTTCATTTCTTCCTATCTGCTCTAGTTTTCTTTAAAACATAAAACAAAGTAGGGACTATTTGTCTTATAAAGGTTTCCTACGCCTGACCAGCTATGATCAGCAGAGGAGCAAAGTGTGCTTCGTTTCTGGTGGTCAGAAATGTTCCCACAATTCTCACCTTTTCTCCGTGTTCCTACGAAGCCTCCTTTCACTATTCCCGAACGTCCTGTCATTTAGACAGAACGCCGGCAAAACTACCGAATTGCCTCCTAACAGAATGAGAACAGTTTCTCCATTTGTGTTAGGACGCATTTCAGAACTTTGTCCAGATCGGAATTTCATTCGAATTAATGAAACTCCCATCCTATTCGTGCTGCGGCTGCATCTTGCAGCTGCTTAGTAGATAACTCCCTAATTCCCACAGTATCAGGGAGCTATCTACCAAAAGGCTGAAAGACCTAATTTGATATTTCAGCCAAATTTACAAATACTAAGTAAAGATTACTTAGTATTAGTAAATTCTGTCCCTACTCGCTATACTGCGAGTAGGGGCATGTTTACTAAACAGTGAGCAGCCTCTTTTAACTAACAGCATGGACACAATATATGCCTAAGAACATACATTCTTTTATAGACAATGCACTTTTACTGCGTACCTCGCTTCAGTTGCCAAGGGGTGCAACTTTAAACTTTAAAAAAACCTCAGTAACAATTGCCTTCCCACGAGGTGCTGCTGGCTTGCTGAGTCACAGAGAGCCTTTTGCCTCCAAAACTACATACCGTGGTCATAGGGGTCGCAGCTGCGACCGGGCCCGTCACTCCAGGGGGCCCGACCGCCCTGTGGACCCCTGCGACCCAGTACCAGCTGCCACGTTTTGCGGCCCTGGCCCGCGTGGCAAACCGCCGGGCCCATCTTTTAAGGGGTCCATTGAGCGGCCCATGCAGTTAGGGCCACCTGATGGAGATAGATTTTCAGGGGGCCCAGTCAACGCTGGGCGCTTTAACAGCGCGACTGGGCCCCCTGTGATGATATCACTGTTGGGAGAAAGTGACTCCCCGGTCACTCCTCCCAGCTATCAGAGCCCACGCGGGAGGAAGGAGGAGGGAGTCAGAGTGAGCCCCCACTGAACCCCAGGGAAAGTCACAAAAGATAGGAAACAGGAACCATTTTGTATATGTATGTGTGTGTGTGTCTGTGTCTATGTCTCTGTATGTGTGTGTCTGTGTCTCTGTATGTATGTGTCTGTTTCTCTGTGTGTGTGTGTCTCTGTATGTGTGTGTGTCTCTGTATGTGTGTGTGTCTGTGTCTCTGTATGTATGTGTGTTTGTCTGTGTCTGTGTGTATGTATGTGTCTGTATATGTGTCTCTGTATGTATGTGTCTGCGTGTGTGTGTGTCTGTGTGTCTGTATGTGTGTGTCTGTCTGTGTGTATGTATGTGTGTCTCTCTGTATGTATGTATGTGTCTGTCGGGGGGTGTATGTATGTGTGTGTGTGTCTGTCTGTATGTATGTGTTTGTGTGTGTGTCTGTATGTATGTGTTGGGGGGGGCCCATGGATCGGGGGAGAAAGGGGAGGGAAGGGGTGAGGTAAGGGGGCGGCCCACTGATCAGTTTTGCACCGGGCCCCATGGATTGTGTGTACGCCACTGGAGGGAGGTCTGATGATCAAACATTCCCCAGGGAAACAAGAGGGGGGCAGAAAGGTTCCACCTGAGGCAGTCAGTGCTGAACAAAGATTTAAAGTAATAAGCGGACAGTTACAACTTCTCTTAATGAGCTCAATATAGCTCATTAAAGGACCACTATAGTGCCAGGAAAACATACTCGTTTTCCTGGCACTATAGTGCCCTGAGGGTGCCCCCACCCTCAGGGACCCCCTCCCGCCCGGCTCTGGAAGGGAAGGTTTAAACTTACCTTTTCCAGCTGGAAGGAGGCTCTCCTCCTCGATCCTCCTCCGTTCATTAGGCTGAATGCGCCGCGGCCAGCGGCAAGAGATCGCGGCGCATTCAGCGGTCATGAAAGCATTTGCCAATTAACCACTGTGGACGCTGGTATTAGCTCTCACTGTGAAAATCACAGTGAGAAGCACGCAAGCGCCTCTAGTGGCTGTCAATGAGACAGCCACTAGAGGCTTTGGGGGAAGGCTTAACCCATTAATAAACATAGCAGTTTCTCTGAAACTGCTATGTTTATTAAAAAATGGGTTAACCCTAGCTAGACCTGGCACCCAGACCACTTCATTAAGCTGAAGTGGTCTGGGTGCCTAGAGTGGTCCTTTAACAAACATTGGAAAACCTGCTCTTTCGACTCCAGGACAGAGGCTTCTCAGTGGGAAGCTTCTGACTGGTCTTTTCCCTGGCACAAACTGAAAGTCTGTATCAGGGAAAGAGGGGAGGGTTTTGGGGGTATATCTATTAAATAGTTTAAAAAAATGAAATGGAGTGTTCCTTTAACCCCCTAAGGACACATGACATGTGTGACATGTCATGATACCCTTTTATTCCAGAGGTTTGGTCCTTAAGGGGTTAAAGAAATATAGGTGTCTGTTTATACAAAGTCATACATGAACTGGTTACAGATATAGTTTACTCTTTAAACATTCGTTGCAGAACAGCAGCAGATTTCATAGTTCACTGAAAAAAACTTTAAAACAGGAAATACCAGATTGTCAGTGTTTCTTCCTCCATTATTTATTTATAGAATTTATTTTATACCCAAACATTATAAATAACTTTATAGAGCTCTACTCTTTTTTTTTAGTTGACGTTTTCAGATGTGTAATTGTGACTCCACACTAAGAAAAAAACATTACAAATAATTGTATTTTCAGTTCATATGTATATGCAGAGTAGGGCTATATGGGCCCAAAACCATGAATTAGCATGGACCCATTCACCTTCAGTATGTGAAAAATAGATGGGAGCACCAAACCACAAATTTATTTATTTATAAAAAAAAAAAAAATTAACAGGAAGAATACATTGACATTTCTCTTGTTTTTAAGTATGTCCTGGGGCCACAAACACTGCATTGTTACAATGGGTTACAGTATAATATAAAAAATACACTTAATCTTAAAATACACATATACATTTAACACAGTACATGTAAAATATAATTAACCATGATTACAGGTGCATTCTGTTCAGTGGCGGAACTACTGGTGCGACTGCCCCGGGGCCGGCACGCCTTGGGGGACCCATCGAATGGCCTATGCACTAAGGGCCACCCAATTGTATTTTTGCTAAACAGGGGTCCAGTCAGGTGCCCCTGCTGTACCAACTATGCAAAAATCTCCCCAGGCAAATTTATTAGGGGCCTTGTCAGACGCTGTAGCCCTTTGGCAGCATGACCAGGCCCCGTTAATGTCTGTATATCATTCTGGGAGGAAGTGACTGTCACTTCCTCCCAGACTACATATCGCGTGGGCTGGGAGGAGACAAGGAGGAAGGAGAGTATAGCAATCAGTCGGCTTCAGATTCCTATCAGCAGCAGCCAGCCCCAGAAAGTCACCTCCATGCAATTAAAA